TAGATAAGATATGTATGGTCATTTCTAAGTCCACACAATATGCGCTGGAATGACCGACTCATGCAGTTGTCGAATCAACTGATGGATTCGTCCGACGAGGAAATCGATGTCATCATAAGTATGGCAGCCCAAAAAGCCGTCCGCCAAGCCGCAGCTGTAGACTCACGGTCATGGAGCGGGTCACGTCGCAGTCGTCAGCCAAACATTGATCGAAACCGGACTGATTGTCGACGACTACTTTGGAGAGAACGGGAAACCATCTACGTACACAGAAGGACAGTTCCGCCGCCGGTTTCGTATGAATCGAGCACTCTTTATTCGGATCATGGATACCGTGGTTGCTGCGGATACATACTTTGTCCAAAAACCAGACGCATTCGGAAAGTTAGGTAAGCATGGCATGACATATAAATAGAGCTTAAAGATAATATAGGTCTGTCACTATTACAGAAGTGCACTGCGTCCATTCGTATGCTGGCGTATGGCGTCTGCGCTGACTCGACCGACGAGTACTGTCGCCTTGGTGAATCAACAGCCATCGAATCCGTGAAGCGCTTTGCAAGAGCTGTCGTCTCAGAGTTCGGCCCCGTGTACCTGCGCGAGCCGAATGAAGAGGACGTCGAAAAACATCTCGACCTCAACGAAAGTCGTGGGTTCCCTGGGATGTTTGGTTCTATTGATTGCACCCACTGGGAGTGGAAAAACTGCCCTGTTGCCTGGCAAGGCCAATATCAAGACCGCTACGGGAAGCGGTCTATGATATTGGAAGCGGTTGCGACGCAAGATCTGTGGATTTGGCATGCGTTTCTGGGGGCTCCAGGGTCCAACAACGACATTAACATTTTGGACAGTTCGACGCTGATGGTGAATCTGGCTAAACTTGCAACTTCCAGTGATGGATTTTCGGTAAGTACATTTTAGCTCTATATTTTTGGTTGCTTTACGCGTACAAATAAATAAATATTTTGTCTCTAATATTTACAAATAGATACATATTTTGTCTCTAATATTTTGTCTTGCATTAATCGTACAATTTTGTGTATTACGTTAATGGGATTTTGTTCGACATGTTTATCCTCTTGGCCGATGGAATTTATCCATCACACTCGACGTTTCAGAAAAGTCTGAGCAGTCCTTCAACGGAGAAGGAAGAGTACTATTGTGAACGACATGAAAGTGTTCGAAAGGATGGCGAACGTTGTTTTGGGGTCTTGTTTGGACGGTTTCACATTCTGGCCAATCCCAGCCAATTGTGGAGTCGTGACCACATGCGCGTCGTGTGGCTTGCTTGCATTTGCTTGTACAACATGATCATCGAGGACGACAACACCATGGAGCACCACCCCAATGCATCGAAATGGGATAACGACCTGGAGCGCAGTCGACCTCAGCAGCCATTGTCCTTCGACGGTTATTTGCATCAACGTTCAGCCATGGTCGACTCCGATACACATGATCTCCTGCGTCAAAGCATCATCGAACATTTGTGGACAGAGCGTGGTAACATCTAGAAAAGAACCCTGTTAAAAATTGCAATTACGAAATCAATTATCAACTTACTAGATTAGTTAAATCGATTTTAAACATTGCAATTAGCAAATCAATTATCAATTTACTAGATTAGTTGAAGACGTTTCTAGTTTGATTGCGAATCAGCTGATTTTTGCATACGACTAGCAGCACGCAATTCGAGCTCTGCAATTACCTCGGCTTGCTGTAGCTCTAAAAATCGAAGGGCCATAGGCGTCAGGTTTTCCGTCGGTGTTGTGAACAATTGGAGATTCGCGACGGTGGATTGGTCATTTGCTTTGCGATTAATTGCAGCAGCGAGCCCACCCATGTCAACACTTGCTTGAGGCATGTCCTCTATACTCAAACGTTTGCGCTTCGCTGCCTTCGCTCCTTGCGGACGGCCTTCCGAAGATTCCAAATTTACTGTCGAAGACAACAATTTGGAGCCGTCCAAATTATTGTCTTCGCCAGTCAATTTAGAATGCTTGGTTGATTTCTTGATGCCGAAGCCATTTTCCCGATACGCTTTCCATTTTGGCTTGTCGCGCAGGACTCGCCAACACACCATGTACTTGAAATTGCGTCCACTACCCGTCGTGGAAGTGGTGGTCTTGAAGTAGAGTGCCCTTGCCGCATCTTCGACGTCGTCGATGTTCGTTCCACTTGCTTGAAGGTCTTGTACTTGGGTGTAGCAACCAGTGAACTTGCTGACAGCATGCTTGATGTCTGCAAACTTTGATTCGAGAGCCCTTGCCGTGCGTTGCGGGCGGTCTTCTGGCTTAATCTCGTTGAAACGATGGGTTACTGTGTCCCAGAATGTTGTCGAGGTTTGGCCACTACCCTTGATCGGATCCTCATACGCTGCTACCCATGCCTTGGACAGTAACTCGTTCTCCATGTGGTTCATCCACAACGACATCGGCGTCCAGCGATTGAAAAGTATTTTGTGTAGACTAGTTTGTATACCATACAAATGTCTTGTTATTAGATTAATTCGGCGCAAAACCTCTACTCGGAGATTTTAGTGAAAACTCCGTGTGGAATGGTCAAGACTCAGGGTCCGGGGTTCTGAAACTCAGTTTCAGTGTCGAATTCAGTGTTGGGGTGGGGGTAAATTCAGAGTCAAAATATCATCGACACTGAGTAATATTCAGTTTCAGGGTCAAACTCCGTGTACGGTGGAGATGCTCTTAGAGAGTTTTCAGACACTGGATTTACAACAGCATTTCAAGAATCTACAATTACAGAATCCAGAATCTACAACTTCAACTTATCCAAATGTCGCAAACATTTATTCCATTTCCAGCTTCGTACTCTTTTGCCCGTACCTTTGTAACCTGAAACCCCTTGTGTTTACATCCCGGTATAATGCGTGCCCCTAAACCACTTGGGGTTTCATAAAATGCCTGTTCCCGGGGTTATGTTGCATAGCAAGTGGTTAGCTAGCGCTAACCACTGTCCATGCACACAATCCCTAACTGGAGTACCTACCGTATAGGTAACAATAACTACCCGGGCTTAATAACTACTTTTGGGCCTTCGCGGGCACAATAACTACCCTCAGCGCCGCAGGCGGGCTAAATTTCACTACCCTGGGCAATATGGCGGGTAACTACCCGGTCACACATACAATCTCATCAAATGCGTGGCTGGCTACCCTAGCTATATTCTCAAATACATCCATAACTATTGCTGTACTGCTCAAACAACTTCGACATTTTGGGATATCCATCGCCACCAGGCTCATCGACTATTCTGACATTGTCATTGGCCAGCAAGACCTTCAACCCCCTCAACTGGGACTTTGCCCCAGCTCAATATTCAATAATACCATAAATCCCGCTAAAATGGTCTAAAATTCACGAAATTTTGGGTTGGCTGTCTTCACCATGCGCGACAACTCTTGGGTTCATTTTGACGTTCAACTCGACATACAACCTTATCAAGTGGGTGGCTACCCCAGCACTATTCTCAAATACAGCCATAACTATTGCTGTACTGCTCAAACAACTTCGACATTTTGGGATATCCATCACCACCAGGCTCTTTGACTACTCTGACATTGATATTGGCCAGCAAAACCTTCAACCCCCTCAACAGGGTGGTTGCCCATTGTAAAATTCGTACATATCTCATGCAAAAGTGCAAGATCATGAGCACAACTTGAGGAACCTCGCCGACACAGCGCCGGCTGGCTGTATTGGAATAATTCGAGGAAAATTGTGAGCCCTAGCTGCAACCTTTGAAATTTTCGTATCCAATTGAAATATAGAGGCATATATGGAAGAATTGGGATGCGTCCTTTCGTTCATCGAACAAGTGTGAAAGCATTCGAGTAAAATGCATTTCTCAATACTCATTGCTCCAGGAAGAACGAATGCCTCCACAACGTGCCGTCGATGAGCGAACCCCTCCCACCACGCAAAATCCGAAGCCAGGGTTGATGCGGACGGCCATGTGTCTCAGTGCATCCCAGGCAATTTGCCAGGCTTATGCAGCTGCAGAGCCGAAACCAGGTATACTGTCACTTCCATAAATCTCACGAATTTCTAACGAATTTATTTACGCTGAATAGTACCTTTGAAGCTGCTTTTGTCGACCGATCTACCGAGCGAGCACAAAAAGCATAAAAAGCGAGTTAAGATGATGCTGCGCCAGATCGCATCCAGCGACGCTGTTGTTACCAGGATTGCGAATCATCACAAATGGCAAAAACGATCGTACTAGGTACTTCACACTGATCTATGTTTAATGCTAATTGACGATGTTGCAGATGTGACGGCACCACCCCACGAGCTCGTTGCGACGGCACGACGACGACCCATGACCTGACATCCATCAAGGCCACAGCGACAGACAACCGTGGGGAGGCCCCGGCTAGAGTCGCTGAAGGGCTAAAATTTTATGTATATTATTGTTTCTTTCAATTTGTCGTGTTGAGCTACGTGTCTAACCAACACTGTGCAAATAAAAAAGCGACTGCTAGTTAACCAGGGCGCTTACTGGTATGAAGGAAACTAGCCCCCCACATTTTTGTGGCGAAATCCTGCCGTGTGGTGCCAAAGGTAATTTACTTGCCCCGGGGGTGCAAGTCATTTACAAGTCTCGTGAGTAAAAAGGTACGAGACTGGACAATACATAATTTTTAACCACTCATTGAGGACATTTTCGGCAACCATCGCGGCATCAAATGTATCCATCGCCAAACAACGTCTTCTTCAACGAGGTAACTATAACGATTGAATTTTTGTAGATTTTATTGAAATTCACTTAAAACAGAACAACTGGATTTCCGAAGTTAAAATTCACTGAAACGAACATTTGACTCAATAGATCGACAAGGAAGCACCAGTGTGCACGCCTCCCCCAAGTTGCCCATTTCGCGTCGCCGTGTACCTGCGTCGCTCACTAGCCACCTAGCCTTGCCAGTCTTGTGCCGCTGTTGCCGTGGGGCAGCATTCCTTGTTCTTTCTCGCTGCCGTGCCTATCTTCTTCCGCCGTCCCAATCGTTGCAGTGGGGTAGCATCCCTTGGCCGTTCTGCTGCCTATGATTTTGCAACTGGACTGAATGGCCTGGAAGTATGATTCCGGTCTTAAGCTCAAGAGGTCACTGGTTCGATTCCGGTAAGTGAGAAATAGTTTTTACACCAATGCAATGCATAATATAAGAATAGGTATGGTCTGGCATTCAGATTTTGAAATTTCAAACTCTACTCAAGCCAGCTCACTGCAGCCTTCCTGGACCAGAGACGCAAGATGCCATTCAACACGCATGCCACTACCCTCACGAACGTTGCCAACGGTAGCGTTGTTCGTTTTGGAGGCGAAGACTTCGAAGTTGTCGACGTTCCTGGTGATGGCAACTGCCTCTTTCACAGCCTCCTCGTCCCTGGTGTTCTCCCGACTCCAAGCCAGGTGGACTTGAGACGTCGAGTTATGGAGATGACGATGTCACCTCTATGGATTCCGGTGGTGCGTGACGTTTTGACGATGTTCTACGGGCCCAACTTTGACGTTGACACGTACCGTGCCCGTCTTGGTCGCGTTGGCTCCTGGGTTGGCGACTGCGAAATGTGCCTCGTGGCTATCCTCTTTGGCGTCAACATTACCTCCTTTGCCTGCGTGAAGGATCCAAACAACGTGAACAAAGCTGTTTCCATCTTCTCTACTGCAACGACATTGTCCTCCATGAACCATCCGTGGGCTTCGCACGCCTCGACGGAACTCTTCGTTCACTTTCATCAGTACGGAAGACCCTGCACCAACCAGCTATGGGTGTCATTGAATCAATTTTGCGTGCTTGTACCCAACTTCGTTCAGTCCGACAAGACCGCCAAGTCCGAGGACCGCCTTGATGCATTGAATCCACCAACAGCCACGCCAAGTTTCCACAACCACCAAGTCCAAGAACCGCCTTGAAGCATGAAATCCAGTCGACGACATGCTCATGGGCTCTGCGCCAAGCGCCACGAGCGTCAAGTCCGAGAACCGCCTTGATGCGTGCAATCCAATTGACGACATCTTCACGGGTATCGCTGGTGCGATATCATCCACGGCAAGCACCGCGCGTGCCATAAGGAGTGCAGAAACTACCAAGGCGAGCACGAAGCCTGCACCAAAGCGTGCGTTTACGCAGCTGACGCTGTCATCCCTTCCAATGTGGAACAAGAAGCCAACTTCAGTCAAGCGCGCGAAGACCACGCAGCAAAAGGGAGTGAAGAAGGTCCCCGCCGATGTTCAAGTCAAAACAGACATTTTGATGCGCTACATTGGATCCCTCCAAGCACCAGAAAATTTTGTGTCCACGATGCTGCGAGGGCGGGAAGATGCCATGCGAGCTGAAGCATCGAGAATCAAACATTTGGAACACTTGGACGCGCTCGAAGTCGGGACAGTCGTTTCTGGTGTTCTGGAAGAGCTCGTCGCTATGATTGAGGCAACGGAAGTTCGTTTGCCTGAAGTCAAGCTTCAGGCGAATTCGTCCGAATTGACTTGTTATTGGTTACTACTTGCATCCTCATCTCGGTGACGGCTGCATGCCATCCACATTGAAGCTGTTTGGCAACTTTGCCAAAGAAGGTATGTTTCATTCACACTATCGTGTACAACCGTGTAGCTCACATACTGTCTAGGTACAACCCGAGGCTGGTTCAAACCTGCCCAACGCATGAAGTGGTTCAACATTGTGAAAGAGCTCACGCCAAGGCTCATTATGTCGCCCTTTGCAATACAATGTAATTTCGACAATTTTCTGTAAAAATATCTGATATATTAAATTAGATCTTGGGAAAGGCATTCAGAACAACGCATCCCCGAAGCTGTTATGGCTCAATTCCACCAAGCGAAGTTTGGCGGTACTAAACCCAAGTTTATGGTACATTTTGCCGTGGAAAGTATTTGTTCTTAAGTAAGTCTGACCAATAGTCCACACTCAGTCGAATGGGCACAATGAGTCATCAGAAGATCACGGCAAAGGCACGACAAAGCAACTGCAGCCAATTGGTCACTCAAACGACAAAGCGGATAGAAGGCACTGTAGCAAAGCTTGGAAGAAAGACAGCCCATTCAAACGAAGAGAAGTGGGTTGAAAACTTCATTGTGACACAATTCGAACGGGGGAATCCCGCAAGCAAGGACGACGTTTACGGTGCGTTAGCGGCGCAGTCATGGTACTGCAATTCAAATCAGACTTGGTGATAACAAGGAGCTAGGGGATCGAAGTCTTTCCAAGATTTTATTGAAGACACCGAGTCCTGCCGTAACTGGCTACGGCGCCTGTTGAAGCGCATTCGGTACTCGTCAAGAAACTGTTCCATCAGTCAAAAGATTCCGTTCGACTGGAAAGTCATCGCGGCTGCGGACTCAAAGCGAATTCGCGATCGTAGGGCTGATGTCGACCGACTTGTAGCAATTGACGAAACCTTCATCATGTACACCGAACCATCATTCAATTTTCTTCAACTGATGTAACCCTTTTGTAGGTTTCACATGACGAACAAAATGCTGCTGGTTCCACCAACAGGAACGAAGCGAGTTGGGTCGGTCAACCCCATCGACGATGAAAAGAAGGGTGTTACTTTGGCTGTTGCTTGCGAGGTGTACTCTTCAATGCTGCTACCTCCATTCATTATCGACATTGGGGAATTCGGTGCAAAGCTGATGCACGACTGGCATCACTACAAGAAAAGCGTTGTTGTCTTTAACGCTACCCACTGGATGACGCAGTATATCTTTACGATATTTCTGGCGTGGCTCAAGACACTCTTTAAAGGCGACAAGATCGGTGTGGAACGTTTCAATTCGATATATTGCAAAGTCTAACGTAGGTGTTGTTGTTGATCGTTCTCGAACGCACTATGGTGATGTCGTTGACACTTGGCTCAAATCCAAGGAAGGTCAAGACATCGTGGTCGAATTCATTGCGGAAGGAATGACATCGGTTCATCAAGTTGGGGACATAGCCATCAATCGTCCGCTCAAGGCAATCATCCGAAGCAAATACAATTTGCTCCGATGGAAATCACACGAGTCGCTGAGGCCTGGCGACGTATATCGGATTAATCGCGCAGAACTGGTTAGAATCATCGAAGACTCCTACGACGAGATGAACAAGGAAAACGTCAAGGAGCAGTGGATAGCAAGGGCATTCGAAACATCTGGACAGCATCCAATGCGCACCATGTCGACTGCGTTTGATGATCATCTCAAGTCCTTGCAGGAGAACCATATTTACGCGAATATGCTGAGCTCGTCAGCTCAACTTCAGTGACGTAGATAAATAAAGATTTGCTTGGGTTAACGTAATGAGTCCATGAGCAAGTTGCTCATCGTTAATGCCTCGGAAGAATTTTGGAATGCCTGACATTTGTGAGTAAAAATAAAAATATGAAAAATGTTGCGAAATGGTGAACTTGAACTCGGGACTTTCAGGTCACGAATCGGGCGCTCTACCACTTGAGCGTCAGTCTTTTAACCCAAAGGTCCCCGGTTCGAATCCGGGTCCCGCCATTCTTTTCGACGAATTCAAAAACCGTCACGCGACACCTGAAAAGAAGGGATATCCGGATTAAGAGGACCCGCGGTTCGGTTAAATAACCGGATAGTGAAAACACTGTAAACACAACCCCCCCCCGAGTGAGCCCAATCAGCCGGATAACGCGAGAAGGCAATATTAAGTTAGATATAATATCCGGTTAAAATTCTAATAAATCTCCATTGACAATGAAAACAATGAGCTACAGATGCCGGGTGTCGCATTAGCTCACGAATTCAAAAACCGTCACGCGACACCTGAAAAGAAGGGATATCCGGATGAAGAGGGCCCGCGGTGCGGTCAAATAACCGGATCGTGAAAACACTGTAAACACAACCAACACCCCCCTCATGAGACATGAGGTTGAGATGAATTGCACCGGATAACGCGAGAAGGCAATATTAACTGTAAGTTAGGAATAATATCCGGTTAAAATTCAAATAAACCTCCATTGACAACAATGAGCTACAGATGCCTTCCTTGTGAACTTCGTGGAAATCTTTCTTAATATTTGACTTCTTGAACATCAAATATAATCTCGGGCTGAATAACTGCTTTGGGATTTTTTGGCGGGTCTTTCTCGAGCTACCCTGAGCGAAAAAAGGCAGAGTAGTTATTGTTACCTATACGTAAGTGAGTGTAACAGGTTGATTAACTAATTGAGCTTTGGATTATCATTTTTAAGATATTCCTCCGCGAGGGCTTACACTAGAACCACATGTTATAGAACCGCTTGGCCAATTGTAACGCGCCTGCTGACCAGGGGCTATGTGTAATCTTCGGTTTTTACTTCGCTCAACGCTTCATACCTCGTCCTTCGACCGATCTTCTTCGAAGTTCGGTCCTCGTCTTCGTACGCGGCCCTTGTTATCCGGATTCCCCAGGGGAGGGACAGATAAATCCTTGCGGAAATAATCCGGGGAAGCCGGGGATCAAACCCACGACCTTTGAGTTAAGAAACTGATGCTCTACCACCCGGGATATACCCCCCCCCGTGTGTAACAGGTTGACATACAGATCAAACTGATCCTCATATTCCAAAGCATAGAAAATATTGAAGTATAGCACTTGTAGTCATGGATGGTACTTGAGTTTGGATTATCATTTGTTTATTTCTGGACCAATTCGTCACCAAATTTGAATCTGATACGTAGAATTTCTTCACCACATTAAGATCTGTCGATTCTACGTCTCAATTTGCTGAAAACTTGAGTAATGAATCTAAAAACGTTTCACAAAAGTTGGTACTGGTAGTATTCATTACTCAAAATTTCAGCAAATTGAGACGTAGAATCGACAGATCTTAATGTGGTGAAGAAATTCTACGTATCAGATTCAAATTTGAGCTATCAGGATACAAAACTAGTTCCCCTGGCAAGTTTCAGAATATATCACGCATGCGAAGCGTCTCCATATGTATCTCGAAGTTAAGAGGCTCTACCACTTGCACAATGAATCTATAGATGGAATGTATGGTGGTAGGAGCATTGAGGCTGTGTCATAGCTGATGTTTTGTGTGGTTGTGTGTGTTGCTGGGCAAGGATGTTAGGGGTTCGGAATGGTGTAGCCTTGGCTTTCATTCCTGGTTTTACCTCGAACTGAGCTCTACTTTTCATCAAGTTCGAGGACTGGCTGCAAGGCGATCCACCAGTTGCGACCGCCCCAACGAAAAGTGCACGAAGTGGCATCAGTACTATCGTATTATGCATGTGCAACAAATCCGTACTTTATTGCGCAATGTTTTGCCAGACCAATTTATCCAGCAAATGAAGGAGTCGTAGTCTGAAAAGGAACTAATCCACCGCCTCTGGGCGGAGATTGAGAAGAAGTATGGTGTGTCTAGCGTGACCGCAGCATTACGGCCAACATGCACACGGTCGTGGACAGCTCGATACTCGTTGACCATGTGCGCGGTCTCGGTCAACCCATGCCAAGTTCCATGCAGTCGGCAACGATTTGGCTCTCGCATGTGTGCAATGCGATCATCTTGTTCAATCCACCGTACTGAAAACCACTACCGTCGTACTCCACGCCTTGCTCGCAACAGTCTCGCACGTCATCAAGCACATTAAGGACAGAGTCTCTTGACCCTCTCTGTACACAGTGCCAAGTCTTTCGGTCCACTCGGACGATGGTGGCGCGCCAAGTGCATCGATGAAGTAGATGCCCCATGCAACACGGCGCGCTTTGTCGGAGACAACCATTGGTGGTGGACCCGTAGGGAGACTCTTGTTGCGAACAGCTTTGGTCGTAGACCTTCGCTTTGTTTGATTTGCCAGGCCGCTGCCACGGCCCTTGCGAGGACTCATGGGTTACTAGTAGTAGTAACAAAGTACCATAACTTAATTGTCAAATTTCACACAATAATTTATTTTATTGTAAGTTG